AGTTATCCATGGTTTAAATTAATAGCAGAATTTGATTTTCAGGTACTTAGGTTTCAGGCCGACCATACAACCAGATCAGAAAGCATTAGTTCATCTGATAGACAAATACGAGAAAAATCAGAACTGGGAAGAGTTCGAGCAAGGAGTGAAGAAAGCTCATGAAAATCGATATGGGAATCCGACAAAAAGAAGGGTCATACCTGGAAAACCCAAAGAAGAGGACAATTTTTGGTCTAACCCTGAAGAGTGCTTAATTAAGACCAATATAATAGAAAAATCTGAATGTCCAATGTGGAAATAGCTTCCATTGGTGTTGACAATTGTACATAGCATGGCAGTGCTCGGGATTCTCTCTTGCGAACATTTCAGGTCCCAATATCATATTAGAGCAGCATTTTTTTTTTTTTTCAATTTTGATTTATATATGTTTTTAATCTGAAACTTTATATAATAACCACAATCAAATGACAAGTGTAGTAGTGGCACAACACAGTTCAAACATAAACAACAGATAAAAGCATTTGGGTCATGAGCTTCAAATTTGATTTTGTATTTCAAACTTGTTAGCGACAACCAATGGTAGTTTTTCAATAACATAGATATCAAAGCAAGCCATTCTATATTAACATAAATGAGAAGGAAGACATAGAAAAGCGAAAATTTAAGAAATAGTTTGCGCATATACAAGGATCAAATACTAGGCCACCCGATGAAAACTCACTCGGTAGGAGATGAAGCTTTGTAGCCAATCACAGAGTAGTATTATTATCAAATCTTTTGCCTTTTTTGCGATTGATCAAAGTCTTCACAGTTTACAGCATCTTGAAAGGTTACAACAGGTTGGTTACCAGAAGGCATTGGAATACAATGATCCTATAGAGAAAGAGTTAAATAGAATTTTCAGTGACAAGACTCGTACAAAATAGTGGAGTCTAGATAACCTGAAAGAAAAAAAAAAATCAAAAATAGCCCTGAGGTTCTACAAATTAGAAAAGAAACCAAATTGTCCTTGGAAATAACAAATACCCCCTTGAACTTTCATTATTTAATTTTTTACTAAACAAAGGTACTGGTTGCAAATTGAAACAAATGTTTAGGGGATATTTTAATATTGAATTATTCTGATAGCTAGACTAATCTCAAGTTTAGGATTTATAATGTAAACCATAAAATATTGCACTACTTGCTAATATGCGACACACCTTAGCAATTGATCCACTATGTGCTCGGTTTCCAAGATTAATCTGAACTGATATGCTGGCTTGAGACAAATCCACACCAGTGCTCTGTAGTGCTTGTGACAATGAATTCAGTAACCTGACCACGATCCATTCCACAATTAGCTGACAATTAATGCTAAAAAAATTCCAACTTGCAAACTTAGATAAAGCCCCTTAAGGATTTTGATCTGCCTTTATTTTAAGGAGTAGACATAACTTGTTCATGAAAGTAAGGGTGAAAATATAAGAACCAACCCTCAAAAGGGCTATGATTTTGAAACTTTTACAGTGTTTCATTGAAAATACACAAAATTTCAGGTGGTTTTCATAATTATCCAAATATTTTCCACACGATTATGTGCATAGACTCACTCACCCTTGCGAGTAAGCACTCGAGATGCTAATTGTCCCGCCCTCAATCATCAGATCGTTTTGGAGGTTCATGGCTTCAGGACATTCAGTCGGATGCGAATCCGTAAGTGGGCCCGCCGGCCCAGGCAACTCATGTGAGAATGAGCCATCATTTCCAACAGAAACCGGCACAGAGTCCATCGACGACCTGCACAGCCCATCCCTAGAATGATTGGGCTCGACTGAGTGTTTATTCGGGCCAAGTTGCATGATTGTGGGGCCCGCAACACTGTTTTCGTCGAACCTGATGGGAAAGGCAGGAGTGGTACTCGGATCAGAGCCATCCTTCACGGTGTGCAGTTGGCCAGCAAAATTTCGCCAGTGGCTGTTTCTCTATTTCACGTGAAAAAAGGAGACACAGTTTAGAAATTAAAATAGATTGGGATGCTAATTGAGTATTATTCAGTATTTCTTATGTTGATCATCTTATGAAGCAATTAACCAAAGTTGGCTTAGGCTCTGTTTGGTAAAACTAGTTGATAAGCTAGCTTATAGTTTATAAGTAATTTTCAAGCTTATAACTTATGGCTTATGACTTATAGCCGAAAAACTAGCTTACACGATAAAAGCGTTTGGCGAAATTAGGCTGATAAGCTAGCTGAAATAAAAATTTCAAAGAGCTTATCTGAAAAGCTACCCAAAGAAGCTTATGGATAAGCTCGAGCTTTTCAAAAAAAGCTCGTCCTACCAAACGGAGCTTATTTAAATATAGGAAATTTATAAGCTACCCATAAAAGCTATAAGCTAGCTTATTTGGTTACCAAACATAGCCTTGTTTGCTTAGCATAATAATTCGTAAAATTGAAATCCAAATTTGATTTGAAAGGAAAAGACCATATGCCAACCACATGGATCCGCAATTATTTTAATACATAAACTGCTTTAGTCTAAAAGGTAAGTCACATTTCTGCTAGACCAACTTCGTTCATTCTGGGGTTTTATGACATTTCTAGTTTATTAGCAAATCAATGTGGCATATTCTTGAGTTTTGGTTCAAAATGGTCAATCAATAAGTATGGCATTTCACCGCAAAACTGTAATTCTTTTGTTAATCATACTTAGCCGCTTAATGGAAGGTTTTCATCATGCGGATAATTAAGCACAAATTTAATTTGGATCCATGCTTCACTATTTTCTAACGGGATATATTAGTAGGGGAATAAGTTTATCACGGTGTAATCTACTCCTGAAACTGCATGTCCCATAAGAATACAGTTGCTACATACTCACACCTCCTCCACAGGATAATTACAATTTAACCAAATGTAGTATAAAAATATTTTAACACCCTCAACTACTATTAAAATAACTAAAACGAACTGTCCACCAGTTTATAGGAAATGCCATGAGGGGGAATGGCTCAACTTTGGATTTGGCTAACAATGTCTCTGAAGTTTTGTAGAAAAATATATCTAACAAATCCATCTAAAGAAATAAGTAAGCAAATGCTGAAAAATAATGCTGCATGACAAAATATTACCCACGGCATCAGCTTTGCAGGCTCTGTACTCCAAGGCTGATATGATCCCTCATATCTATGGACCTTTTCCTGTAAAAATTGTACATACTCAATCACCTGCATAACAAATCAACAGTTAGGAATATGTTCCGAAGCCGATAACTCTTATTAAAGAACCATGACATGTATAATATAATCAAATGCTAACTAGTTATGTGCAAAAATACCCTTGAGGTATGAAATTACTGAAGGCACAGCTATATTTCTGAATTACCAATTCCCTCTTGTATTTATTTCTATTTTTACAAATTATATTCCAAGTATTTATTCATAAACAAAGGCAAACCTCAACCATCATCAAGGGGTGTTATTAGTTTCGAGGAGCAAATGGGCTTTTGCATTTAGGTAGGCCAAATATGAAGGGTAGATTTGTAAATAATCCACTACTGAAGTGTTATACCTCTAACAAAAATGATGCTGTGTCTCTCTTCTGATCACTGTGCGGTATCAGTTCCCTCAGTACCGAAAATCTGAGACACACAAGAAACATTGCTTAGGATGAGCAAAAGAATTTTGAGAAACTTAAATAATTTAAAACTTTGAAGCAAAAAACTGTAAGTACATTCATTACAGGAACAGGTGGATGTTTCACACTGAAAAAGTCTAATCACAATTACATACACCAACATACACTCGTGAAAATCGTAACAAACAAAGTTGGCCAGATGAATAGACTTGCAACAGAAACTACTCATATTGAAACAAGATCTCATAATCTTGGCAGAAATTAATAAATGCAAGACAGTTAAACAGCAATTATTCGTTTTAACAGAGTTTTTGCAAGCACTTAAAAAGAATGATTCCCCACTTCTTGCTGAAAGGAAAAAATGAAACTTGAAAAAGAAAGGTAGTGCTTAGTTTTTCAAATTCCATCCCATGCTTTTAATTCTGCATAAGCATAACTGGATTTGAAATTCAAAGCAAGGCAAGGTAAATTACTGATTCTTCTACTTGGCTAACTTTTATGCAAGAAACAAAGCACTTTCACAACTTATTCACCCAGAAAAATTCCCTAACACTTTCTCAGCTTTTAGCTTCTTCAAGCAAATACAGCCAACTTTTGATTCTCTACTTTGCTGCTCATACAGTCATACCGTAAGCCACCCCCATGGTAACAGGTTTGGCTAGAAATATGTGTGTAGATTATCAAGCAAATTTTGTACAACCATAGGAATAATATCAGTCCTTTATGGAGTCTTTTTTCTTTTCCCCAAATTATGGTACCCGCAGAACCTTTTTCGCCACACCCATACAGCTGAAGGACTAAAATTACAATTTAGCCTAAAAACTTATTCACCTCTCATTGATTTTGCTCCTCCTCCGCTGCTCTGTAACAGAATGTTTCGACCTTATAGCACTAGCTTTATCACTGTTCTTCCCATCTGTTTCCACCAAATTCATACAAAGATTAAAATGACTCTTGGCTAATTCGACCATGACTCTAATACTCAAGACAAAAAAGACAAATAAACAAAAAACAGAACAATTGGGAAAAAAAAGTACTGAGTGAAATAAATACGGATAAACACAAATGTATCGGTACCTTTGGAATTATTAGCAGATGGGGCAACGCATTTCTTCGCACCATACTCGTCTTCCTCCTCTTCCTCTTCCTGCCGACCTTTCCCAGATTTCATTTTTCTTTTTTTTTTTCGCTTTCTATAAAATTCCAAGATCGAATCTTTTTTCACTGAGCAAGCTGCAGAAAAAAAAGCCGGAAAAAGGAGGCTTTAACACGCAGAGATCTACAGAAAACTCACCATGGATGGAAAAATTCCAGTAAAAGATGACAGCCTTTTGGTGTGATGTGAGGAATGGCGTTGTTGAATTATGGGGGTAATCCAGTAGCAGTAACGGGCACACCCAGAAAATGAGCTGGTCCTTGCTCTTTTTTCACTCTCCATCTATTAATTATTATTTAATTTATTTACTTTATCAAAACGTTGGTGGTGTGCATATTTTGTCTTTGGTCGATCTTTTTTATTTTGAATTTTAAATGTAGCCTACTATTCCTCCTATTCCTCGTACCCCATATCACCATATGTAATGTAAATGCAAATTTTATCCAACATAGTGTCAAATTTAAATCTGATGTTGTTAATCATCTTTTAAAGATTTTAGATGTAAAATAAAATTAAACTATCTAACGATCATAAGAAAAAATAGATAAAACTATTTGTTTAATTTATTAATCTATTAAACTAATAATTTTATCTATTAAACCATTACATTTTACGAGCTAGAAAATAATATAACAGGAGTAGGTTTGACAAGTGGTGGATATAAAGACGGATAGTGTTGGCCCCTTGAATTTTCAAAAGTTTCTTTTATTAAGGTTATTTATTGGGATTCTTGTTAAATTGTGGGCTTTATATTTAGTTTGATGGGTGATGATAGTTTTTCTTTTGTTTTCCTGACTCGGTCCTTTTGGTGAATTTTCAAATTCTGGTATGAGGCTTAATTGAAATTATCTCATCCCCGAGTGCTGATTGCCTATATCTCTCTCTCTTTCTACTTGTTCGATTGGTGCTCTGATTCATCCGGTCCGTAGTATTCTCGATGCCAGCAGTTTAGATAAGATTTTCCCGATTTGGTAAAAGATAGATTTATCATTCTCTCCCTTTCATGTCTCGTAACCTAGACAGCCCCGTGCGTACTCAGATGGCCATTTCAGCTCTCAAGTGCCCTCTCACCACTGTGGTTTTTAATCTTCTCTCAATTGAAGCTCGATTTGGTGCAAGCTAGAACTAAAATTCAAAATTTACAAAATTTTGTGCAAAGACATGTTTATTCATGTTAATGGCATCGTGTTAGTGCCAACAATAATATATGCTGGAAGTCTGGAACTTGGCTTCATATTCTTCCCGAACCACACCATATTTTCAGTATGCTCTTTGTACTTGATGCGATTTCTTTTATTGCAAGTTCGACTTCACGTCACTAGATTAACTATATATGCAATTGAATCTCGCTTAATGTGAATCTTGTGACTTAATCTTTAATAAGAGCACAATCTCCATCATACAAAAAGAAATGACATATTACTATTTTTGGAAATATGTTTAATATGTTTAATTTATTTCTACTTTTTATAAATGATATATGAATATTTTTGGAAATATGTTTAATATATTTATACTTTTTATATTCTTCTAGCTACGGACCAGAGACAAGTCCTGAGGGCATTCTAACACTACTAGAGACTTATTCACGTTTGTAACAATAAATTTTATGCTCTTTTTGGATTTGGGCTTCGGATCTTCTAAGTTGGATTTGACGGCTGGATCTCTCTCATTCTTGCACTTGAATTTGTCTGTTAATTTGAGGCTAGAATAACTTATTTCCCGAACTGAATATTATGACTTAATTCAAGCGCAAGCATGAAGGAGTTCCAATCACCAAATCCAGCTTTGTAGATCTCAAGCCCAAATTGAAAAAGAGCATAAACTTCATTGTCACTTCAAATCAAGTTCAAAAAGTTTTGAAGATGCATGACGACTTCTTTGAAAAAATACAGGGGGAGCAACTAAAGATAATGTCTCCTTACGCCAGAAAGCGGACTTTATTAATACATCTGAAGAGGGGCAAACAAAAGGGGCTCTACATGTCCTTCTCAGAGCAAATTCCATGGGGGCAATTTATATGTGAAACGCTTCCATCAAATTAAATAATATGCCCCTTGATGAGCCTAAACCATCTATAAAGCTCCTTAACATTAGCAAAAAACTATCTAAAATTCCATTTCATATGCTCCTTAATACGAGCCTAAACTATCTATAATTTCAAATGCTCATTGACACAAGCTTAAACTATCTAAAATGCTCCTTGATACGAGCATAAAATGTCTACAAATAAAAGCTCCTTGCACGTGCATAAAATGCCTACAAAATTTGAAGTCTCCTTGACACGAGCATAAAATATTTACAAACCTGAAGGCACCTTAACAACAGCATAAATTATATATAAATATGAATGCTACATGGCATGAGCATAAAATGTCTAAAATTTGGCATACCAAATTCGCAAAAATGAATTTTATGGATAAATTCATAAAATTTTTGTACAACTTCATTTTATTTCGATCAAACGATATTTCAATTATAATTTCTATTTATCTCCTCTGATTCTTCTCTTTCGTGGACTTGGATTTAATCTTCAAATTTGGACTGGACAATTTGATCTCATTCGGACTTATTTTAGTACTTAATTTGAGTGAATACGACTTCTTGACGGTCTTTCTTTTTTTATTCTTCTTGGAGATGGATTTTGACTAGAATAACGTTTATTCAAGAGCTTTTGAAAATAAATGGATTGAAATATGCATAGTCTACGTATGCATCTAATTTCTTGATGATGTAGTAGTTTTTAGTATCAATATTTTTTAAGACCAAGGTCATCACAATATTTCGAATAATAATTATTTCCACAAAAATAATTCTACATGTAACACTAAATGCATTATCCTCTATCACTCATGTACAAACTACATCGGTGGCATATAATATTAACACAATCATATCCATTATATTCAAGCAAGACAAAAAAATGATGGTATATAAACAACCTCATACTTGGAACAACATTAAATATAAACACATCTTGAGCAACAAAACCAAAATGAGTACTCTTCTTCACCATATTGTTGCTCTTAGTAGCAATAAGCTATAATAGCCCATCTCAAGCAAATCCTTTATCTGATGATGAAAATCAAATTGAACAGTATGAGACCAAATTCTCCTCTCATCCACCATCTGTCGAGCACGAGGGCCGACCAAGGTCACGTTGGTGGTGGAGATCATCACATCCATCTCCCAAACACAACAACAACTCGGAGTCGAAACCAAAGTCTCCATGGCTATGGAGGAGAAGAAGATCTCCACCGCCTTTGTCGACACCTCAGCCTCACCACTCTCTAATTCCAAAACCACAGTCACCAGCACACCATCACGGCTCTACTGCCTCTCCGCCGCACCACTCAAAGTGGCCAAAACCAATTTCACCATTGTGGAAGAGGATTAGATCACCGCCGCCATCACTACTTGTTTAATTATAAACATAGTTGAGGGTGGGTATTAGTCGTGCTATCTTATATATGTACATCTCATGGCCAATAAAATAATGATATTATTTGAGGATATTGAAATGGTATTCACCAATAAAATTAAATTAAAGATTGATCCGATGAGAAGTATAAATAAAATTTCGAATGTTCTTGTATTAATTGAATTAAAATTAAGAAAACAATAAAAGTGGGTGGATTATTTTTATAAGAAATAAAAAAAATAAAAAAATAAAATAAAATTTGAATTTTTTTTGTTCAATTATCACCCAATCTAGGACTACTGTTAATTAATTTCAACGTATTCATTAAATTGTTAATGAATTGTCAACCCTAACTAACAAGAAGCCGTGTTAATCAATTTTTCTCTTACCGAATACTCAATCAAAATAAGATCACTACAAGAAATTTGATATTTTGTGATAAAAATATTCATCATAAAAATTATATTTTTGGTTACTAAAAAGTATATAGCGACAAAAACATATTGCCATAGCGGTCATCTGTGTGTAGCCGCGTCACAAAATGTATATGTGACATTTTTCTGATTTGTCATTATAAAATACTTTTAGTGACGCTAACCTCGTCATGTTTAGAATCAAAATTTCAATATTGAAATTATTAAACTATCACTAAAAGTTCGTATTTAAATGACAAACTCATGTTTTTTCGTCTAAACATTAACTTATGTTGACGAACTTATCACTTCTGCAATCGAGATTTCGTCTCTAAAATATTTAGATTTGTCACAAAAGTTTGTCATTTAAACACTAATCTATAAAGATGAATTTCAATGAAAATTAATAATAAAATATTATTATTATTTATTGAAAAAAAAAAATTATTTGATTTATAAGATCCACCACACCAACCACCTCCGAGGGCCTAGCCAACAAGTTTCAAAACAAACCATGGTAATTCTTTTATTTTTCCTACAGTGAGACTTGAACGCGAGGCAACTTGAAAAACAAGACTGACTTTTACCACTAAGGTATATCAATGTATGCAACATGTATTTTCAAGTTTTATTGTACTTAACAATTATGTATTACATATACTGAATATTTTATTTATCAAATTTACTTGCGTGTTATTGATAAATCAACAACTAAATATATGAGAAAATTATATATTAAATAAATAAAAAGTAATTGTTGGAATATCACTTGTGAGTTGTCCCACATTGATTCTATAGGGAAAATGAGTCTAGTATATAAGTCTAGTGGGCTACTCCTCCCATCACCAATTGGTTTTGGGATGGAATCTCACTATGGTGCTACTAGGCTCACCCTCTTATGGTGCGCTTCATCTGGTGGGACCACACCCTCTTCCCTCGATTTAATATGGTATCAGAGCGGGCCTGTCCTAGGACCTGCGATGACTCTCTCTACCCGGCCTGCTCTGGGCTTGGGCTTATTTTTCTACCCGGCATGCTATGTGGGCTTGGGCTTACGAAGGACTCACAAGTGAGGGGGCGTGTTAGAATATCACTTGTGAGTTGTCCCACATTGATTCTATAGGGAAAATGAGTCTAGTATATAAGTCTAGTGGGCTACTCCTTCCATCACCAATTGGTTTTGGGATGGAATCTCACTATGGTGCTACTAGGCTCACCCTCTTATAGTGCGCTTCATCTGGTGGGACCGCACCCTCTTCCCTCGATTTAATAGTAATTATATTTAAATATTCTGAAAATTGCACTATTTTTAAAAAACCTAATGTTCAAGTATGTTTGCTCATTTAGAATTGGAGCTCAAATCATAATTTCATAATTAAATTGGGAGTTTTCATTAATAATACTATTTCAGCGGAGTCACTGTAATATTCATATTTGAGCAGAGTGGGCTTAGCCCATAGTTAAGCCTAAATATTTTAAGCCCAATTGATTGCCTCCTTTGGGTACTTATCGAAGTCTATATATCCATCACCTCTCTTATGTTTGAATACATCCCAAACACTTAAGAATTATTAGATATCTAGATTCTCTTTCTTATTAAGAGAGTTTTAGAGGTGTTAGGAAATTCAATAAAAGATCCCGAGGTAGTCGAGCACTCGACCATCGTCGGCCATTGAGCTTCGCCCAACGTGACCCCGCGAGCCGCGTCCCGTACGAAGCAGCCCCGCGCGCTCCCTGCACCTGCTCCCGTTGAGACCCGCGACATCCTCGCACCCTGCTCCAAGCGAGACCCTCTCTCGAGGACGCTAGAGCATGCGACCCGTCCCCGCTGCACGCTGCGACCCGCTCGATCACCACCGCGCACGACTCGCTGCTTCCTGGCTCCCGCGACCCCGAGATGGCCCTGTCGAGGTGATTTTCGGCATGTGAAAAATCAAACGACCTCCATCAATGGAAATCTACAACGTCTCAGAGTCTGCAAAATTTGAGCTGTAAATCTTCTACGCTAGCTTATAGATCTGCTGCGCATAGGCTAATTTGTAGATAAATTTATAACTTGCACATTTATGACGATCCTCATGGATCCCAACAAGTAGCCTAATGTTCAAGTTACAAATTTATCTACAAAATAGCTTATGAGCAGCAGACCTATAGGTTAGTGTAGAAGACTTATGACTCAAAATTTTGTAGACTCTAAAACGTTGTTGATTTCCATTGATGGAGATCGCCTGATTTTCACTCACCGGACCTCGACTCGTTGGGGTCGTCGTACAGATGCGTGCGGGCGGGAGTCGGGAAGCAATGGGTCGTGCACTGTGGTGATCGAGCGACTCGTAGCATGTAGCGGGGACGAGTCGCGTGCTGCAACATGCTCGAAAGCGGGTCTCGTCGGGAGCGGCGTAGGAAAATGTCGCAGGTCTCGACGGGAGCGGGTGCTAGGAGAGCGCGGGGCTGCTGCATATGGGACATGGCTTGCGGGGTCGCGTCGGGTGATGCTCGATGGCCGACGGTGGTCGGGTGCTCGGCTGGACGTGGTGGGGTGCTCGACTACCTCGGGATCTTCTATTGAATTTCCTTACACCTCTAGGATTTCCTTGGTGGGAAGGAGAAATCTTTCTAAGTCTTAAATGTTTGGGATGTCTTCCAACATAAGAGATGTGGTATATATATCAGCTTCAATAAAGACCCTAAGGAGACAATAAATTGGGCTTAAAATATTTGGGCTTGGCCAAGCCTACTCTGCTCAAATATGAATAATACAGTCCTTCCACTAAAGTAATATATATAATTTATAAAAATAGTGACTATTAATAATACATTTATATAAATATTAAATGTATAAACTAGTTGCTATAGTTAAGACCAATATTGATAATAGAAAATGATATCTTGTTTTTAGTCGTCAAGAATAGGGTACATTTCACTGATAGTATTAAATTTTATCATTTATAACTATTAAATTGTGTTAAAGTAGTCATAAAATATATTATTTTTGTGAAGAAAATTAATGGTATCATTAATATGACACTTTTCAATGAAAAATAAAACTTATTAATAATAAATACTAAATTATGATAAAAAATCATCATAAAATATGAAATTCTGTAATGAAAACTAGCAATGTCATAAAAAAATATATTTTTTTAGTTAAAAAATAAATAAAATTTATTACTGTTAACTATTAAATCTATCATTATATAAAAAGAATAACCTTTTTACAAATTTAGAAACTTTTTCCCGCCAAAATCATTAAATATATCCTAATATAGTAATTGTTGGACAAATCTAAATAGGCAAAAAAATCGGCTCATTTTTTTTAGTTTATCAAAACCGTTGTTTGACAATAAATATTTATTTTTCTTTTTCCTATTTTTAATATAAATCTACACGTTTATCTCTTCTGTTACAAAATCCCATTGCATACGTCTCCCGTGTTTAAAAAATTTCATCCCTTATCTATACAGATTTAAAAAAATTAAATAAAATAGAAACCAATTCATAATTACTACTAGAAATTCATTATCTTTGAAAAGAAAAAATAAAATAAAATAGAAACCAATTCATAATTACTACTGAAAATCCATTATCTACTTTAAGAAGCTAATTTTTATCGGTCTAATTACTAATATTTTTACAAATATTATAATCTAACCATACAAAAAAGTATAATAATAATTTTGAAATGGTGTGTAATCAAATTTTTTTATATTATCTTATACAAAATAATTTTACATTGTTTGACCCCGAATCTTTAATTTATAATTATTAAGTATTGTTTATCTTCCTCTTTAATTTATAATTATTTTTTTTGCTTCCTCTTTTTAAATAGGATCAATAGTAGTTTCCACTTGGGTCATTAAGTGATTTAAACTCGAGGTCTATTTATAATATTGTTAATTTAATATTATTTCCGTGCATCGCACGGGGTATACACTAGTTGTATTTAAAAATTTTAAATATTTCTCCTCCCACAGACCCTTCTTCTCTGGCGAAAAAAACCCTTCTCCTCAAACCTCAGCGCCTCTTCAATCTTCACTCTGATCTACCTTCCTTGGCAACAGCAAGTTCGGGCTAGTGGTCACCTTGACCGCTCAGCCCACCCTCTGATGCTTGTTTCGCCTCCGCTGCCGTGGTTCTGCCAGTGATGTCAGTAATTGATGGTCGGGCCAGGGATTGGGTCTGGTCTTATGGAGGTGAGGCCAATCTGGCGATATTTCTTCGGTTTTGTTGGCGATTGGCGACTGCTCTGCCGGGGAGTCTTCGATTGGCGGTGGATAGCCCTCGATCTGTTTGCAGGGTATCTTCGTCGGCAGTCGGATATGCTTTCTGGTGGGGCTTAGGGGTGGGACTCGGTTCACCGGTGGTCTTGGGTGGTGCTTGTCGGTCGGTCTCGACTTCTGTTGGGTCTTCTGGAGAGGGCCTCTGTGTTTGGACTGTCTGGTTGGGTTGGGTTGGGTCTGTTGGGATGGGCCTTTCGATGGGCTGTTGATGGGTATGCCGGCGGTCTTCGGGGTGCGGGGTGGATTGAGCGTCTTTTGGGGGTGGGGTGAGGCTCTTGCAGCTTCGACGTCTTGGGTCGAGGACGTGGGAG